GGCTGAAAGCTGGTTTCTGGGGTTTTGTTTAGCTTCTACATTTGCAACATAGTACATAGTTGCTTAGAATTGCAACTCAGAGGCCGGCAAGTCAGGTGGGGAATGTTGGAGTCCGCAGTCACTGGAGCAAGCAAGCCTCATGTTCGCTTCCAGCTGCCTGGCTGCCGGCTGCCATCTTGGCTGACAGTTAATTTGCATAAAGGTATGCTGATTAGCCAATGGGAAGGGTAGCGGTCGTACGCTAATTACCATGTTTCTCTTTTATTAGTGTAGATGCTTTCCTCACTGATCAAGGTGGAATCCCTTAAGCTTCATGCAACATTACCAAGTACTTCCTTATGAATACAGTACAGCGGGGAGTATTGGGACTTCAGGAATAGAAGGGAGCAGTGGAAACAGACCAACCCTCCCCAGGACAGCAACTACCCAGGATACTGGAAAAATCAAGCAGTACCACAGTCTACCTGGGAGGACAGAGCACACCGTGAGGGATGGGGCCTAGGAAATCGCAAAGCCAAGTCCAGGTCACTGGTGAGAGTGAGGGTCTTACCCAGGGAGGATAGAAGTTCAAAGTTCTCCAGCATCACATTCAGGTACAGCTGTCTCTGACTCTCATCAAGAAGGTTCCATTCCTTCCTGGAGAAGTACAGGGCAATGTCCTCAAAGGTCACGCCAACCTGTCAGAATGGAGACAATTGAACCCAGAGCTGTCTCTCTGAGAACCTGACATCCTACTCCTTACACACCTTCCCTACCCTCAACCTCCTCCTTAGTGTGGACACCAGGCCCTACTGCCAGTGCAGGCTGCTCTCTCATCACAGTCCCATTAATCCCTCAGCAGAGCAGCTGGGTTGGGTGGGAAGGATTAGGGAAGGGGAGGGGAGAGGGCAATGCCATTTAAGGTCTGGGCGATGCCTGCAGAGCCCCAGCCTTCCTGCCAAGCAACACCACTGCAGTCTCCTAGATCCTGCCTCCAAGACAAAGCCAAGCAAGCCAAGTGTGGGTTTATGCTTCACCGTTAAGTCCCCACAGCAGGTCCCAGGGACCATCAGCTCACACTTCCTCCAGATGTGCACACCACTGTGTAATGTTCATCCCCTTCCCATCTTCAGTCCCCAGGTTCACTCCCTCAGCTCTGCCCCCTTCCTGCTCCAATGCCACTGGATCTCGCTGGACTCACCCGTGAACTTGGCATATGGCGTGTAGAGAGCTTGTAGTCCAGCCGGATCCAGGCCCACCCCAGGCCCCTGACGGACCCACAGCCCGGAAAGCCCCGAATGAGTCTGTGACGTCCTCCCGCAGCCTCTGATCTTTCCGTCAATACTCACAGCCCACATCCTCAGGGACCTTCAGATGCAAGTCACCCCTGTCCTCTCTGCCCTGCACTTGCTGTGTCCTCAGAAGCCACAACACTCCTCTCTCCCCTCCACCTTCCTCACGGTCCTCCACGCGGGACTGAGCTGCAGGACGGGACAGGCGCCCTCCCCAGGCTGTGGTGTCTGTGTGAGGAGGCGGTGAGGGCCTGGGGGACTCGACTCACCTCAGCCCGTCTCCTCAGCGGGGGCGCCGCCATTGCCCTCTGTGGGCTGAGCGGGGCGGAAGCGGCGGGAGTAGGAGCCGCTGCAGGAACGGCGGTCCTTGTCCCGGCCCTGGGCGGGTCTGGTGGCGACTGGGAGCTTCAATCCCAAGTGTGAGCTGTGAGCACCACTGGAGGCTCCGACCATGGCCTGTGAGGCACGGAGCACCACTCTCCGGCCTTCTCCTCGGGACTGTGCGACCAGGAAATCCCGACCCCCTGAGGCAGAACTGAGAGAAGACAAAACCCCGCCAGGAGGACTAGTCCCTCCCCACAGAAATGGCCAAAGGAAAATGCCTTTTCTGAGTCTCCATTGGCTCAGCCTGGTGGCATTCCATGCATGGCCTTCTGGGTAATGTAGTTCCTAGGCTCCAAGTCTAGAATACCGTATTTCCTGGGCTGATTCCAGGAATGGATTTGGGGGCAAATAGCCCAAGAAAACACCAAGTATATTCAGGCTCCTCCAGCGCCTTTAGGGGAGGTGATTTCCGGGGCAAGTTTGTTTCTCCTGCACCTGCCTGGCTTCCTTCAGCTACTGGTTTTGCATACCTTTCTTCAGGACCAGCTCTTTCTGAATGACAGGCATTGTGTCTTCATTCTGGACACTAGGCATGTGTATCCCTCAAGTCAAATGTAGCTGGGGGCTGCGGGGGCGGCGGGGGGCCGGCAGAGGGAGGTTGCTCAAGTCTCTAACTGCCTCTAACCTGCCTCCATTGAATCCATTATACAAAGTTAATTCACAAAACAGACACTCATACTTAAGAGCATTTGCTTCTGATGCCATCAGAGGTGTTAGCTCTGCCTGGGCTGCAGTGTGGATAAGATGGCCAAGAGAAATATGAAAAGATGCTTAAAGTCACAGATCACCAGAGAGAAGCAAATTATAGCAACAATTAGTTAACACCCCACCATTTTCAGAATGGCTGCCATCAACAAATCAACAAATGACAAGTGCTGGGGAGGATGTGGAAAAAAGGGAACCCCAGTACACTGCTGGTAGGAATGCAAACTGGTGCAGGCATTATGCAAATCAATATGGACTTTCCTCAAAAAATTTAGTATGGAACTTCCATTTGATCCAGTGATTCAACTTCTAGGAATATATCGTAAGAAACCTCAAACAAACAGATAGAATGTATGCACCCTTATGCTGATAGCAGACAATTTAGATGAGTGGATCAAAAAGCTGTAATAGCCCTGACCGGTTTGGCTCAGTGGATAGAGCGTCAGTCTGTGGACTGAAGGGTCTTGGGTTCGATTCTGACCAAGGGCACATCCCCAGTCGGGGGTATGCAAGAGGCAGCTGATCGATGTTTCGCTCTCATCGATGTTTCTAGCTCTCTATCCCTCTCCCTTCCTCTCTGTAAAAAATCAATAAAATATATATATATATAAAAAAAAAAGCTGTGATACAACCCTAGCTGGTTTGGTGCAGTGGATAGAGCATCACTCTGCAGATGAAGGGTCCCAGGTTCAATTTAGGCCAAGAGCACATGCCCAGATTATAGGCTTGATTCCATAGTGCACAGGAGGCAGCCAATCAATGATTTTCTCTTATCATTGATTTTTCTCTCTCCACCTTTCGTTTCTTCTCTAAAATAAAATAAAAAATTATTTTTTAAAAAAACCTTTGGTACATTTACACCATGGAATACTCTGCAGCAGTAAAAAAGAAGAATCTTTACCTTTACAGACAGCATAGAGGGACCTGGAGAGCATCATACCAAGCAAAATAAGTCAGTCAGAGAACAACAAGTATCACTTGATCTCACTCATATATGAAATTTAATTAACAAAATAAAGTGGTGAAAGGAGTGGATTCAGACACATGGAAGCATGGAATGAAGTGCAGAATCTCAGAGGGAGGGAATGGTAGGGGGTGAAGAAGGGGGTCCCGCGGGGGTGAGGCCGATGGAGTCCTAACGAAGCATGCCCGACTCCGGAGACCAGGTTCAGTGACGCAGATCCAAGTTTATTGTGTGAGTGCAGCAACATATATAACATTCCAGACCAATCAGAAGTTTACAACATCCATAGGGCAACCAATAGTAGGAAAGATCAGGGTACTATGTAGGGGCTCTAGGGGGTCTGCTCAGGCGGGCGATGCCACTTCCTGGTGTGCCGAGGAAGCTTGTACAGGCGGAGTGTGCTCACGCCATTGCATCTGCCACAGCACTGAGATAAATCTCCTGAGCTCTTCCTACAAGGGGGGAAAAAAAAAGAAAGAAAAGAAACAGCCTCTGGTGAGGATTAAACACACACATACAAACACACAAACAAAACAAAGTCACCTGAGCCTTGAGCATTGTCTTCTGTTCTCTGAATGCAATGGGAAAGCTCTAGCTTGCTGTGTTCTGAGTCTGCTCTAAATTTGTGTTTATTAATCTGTGTTCAGTCAGTGGAATCCCTGGAAATGCTGATACCCCTCCAGGTAACCTTCTCCTGCTTCACATGAGTCAATTGCTTTTGGTGATGTTGTAAGAAATGCCCAAACTTGTGGAGAATTTTTCGAAGTTTATGTGACTCAAGTAGGCAACTCTGCCTGGAAGCAGAATAACAACAGGTTGTGTAATGCTCATAAAATAGCAGCTTTGCACCTTTTTTATACATTAGACTCAAAGGAGAACACATAAGTGGGTTACACGACATTCACTGGTGATAAATTAGGGGGGAGAGCTAAGGAGGGAAATTTTTCAGATTGGATAAAAACTAAAAAAAAATAGACATCAACTTCTTTTTAAGTTTATCAATTAATTAACAGTTAATATTTAACCTGAGAACAATAATAATCGGGGCTCTGTGATCTTCTGTGTTGGGAGATGGTGCTCTTAGGAGGCTGTGAAACAGAAATGTCTCTGAAAATCCAAAGGTATGTCATCCCAGATGTAAAAAGACAACAGACAGGCTCAAGAAGGCAAAATTTGCTCTTTGCAAAAAAATAAAAAACAAAAATCAGACTAGAACATAACTACCCCTGTGACTAGCTTTTACTTAGAAAGTTATAATTTCAAAGCATCCTCTATGGTTACTTTTAGCCTCTGAGTTTGCAAGATTGGCTATACCATGCCTGGCTCCCAGAGATTGCTAGGTTTACTATGTGCCATGATTTTTGTCCATACTGGGGAGTTAGAGCCTGTGGGTTGAGGAGGAAATTCAATGAGTGGTTTATTAACTCCAGGACCCATTGCTGACTTCCTCAGGTACACAATGCCCCTAGTATTGCTGATGTCCCTTTATTTGGTCTCCTAGAACAGCGTTCAGCAAACTGCGGCTCTCGAGCCACATGCGGCTCTTTGGCCCCTTGAGTGTGGCTCTTCCACAAAATACCGACTCCTGCGCATGGGCCACGAAGTTTCAATGGCACTGTATGTGCGCGCCCGCACGTGGTATTTTGTGGAAGAGCCACACTCAAGGGGCCAAAGAGCCGCATGTGGCTTGCGAGCCGCAGTTTGCCGACAACGTTCCTAGAAGTAGTCACTCTTCAGGTCAATAAAGCCTTAGGTTCTAAATGTGGTCGAGGTATTTGTAAGGACAAGAAACAGGTCTGTTTCTTTGCTGTGGCCTTCCACAATTTATGAGAAGCACCTGCTAATTAAACACCATGATTGTTGGCTCCTCTAATTCACACAGCTCCTCTGTTCAAACCGCTGAACAACTTAAGCTACTCTCAATGCTCCAGTCTTACATACCCCTCCTTCCTGCTGTGGTCACAGCCCTGGGATATTTTGGACCAAGGGGTCTCTAGTTAGTAGAAAGTTTCCTTCCCTTCACCCCTTCAAACAAGCCTCTTTAGCACTCATCATAGCTTTTGCTCTAGTCATATTTTATAGGCTTGGGAAAAATACTGATGCCACACCTCCCTAGCGCATCTAGAATACTGTCGCCTGGAAAGCAAACAAGCTGTAACTTTTAAAGACAGCCCCTCATTTCTGCACAACTTCAGCTCAGCCCAAGGCCCATCCATTCCTTGTCTCTTAGCAACAGCCACTGTTGAAAAGCAGAAGCCACACTTCCTTCCTTGCCCGGTAGTGACTAATACTTGGCCCTTTCCTCTCTTGGAAAGTAAGATAAATTTCCTCTCTGCATGGCTTCTTTTAGGTGTGAAATCTTTCACAGCCAGCATCACAGGCCAAACCCTAAAGGTATTCCTTTCTTCTAAGGAGTTAAATGGAGTGACTGTGAAAGATGAGGGCAATGACATTGTAAAGGCAAAATAATATTGACTTCTTCTTTTCAAGGTTCTTTGGTTGGCCTCATAATTAAACTGATACAATACAGGTTAACAGGGTAAAACAATAAAAAAGTTATTAACATGTATACCTGCTGTATATATGGAAAAGATTTAAAAACAAAAAACGGAGTAACAGGCCAAAATGGCAAACACCATCATCTGAAACACCTTCACCTACAGTCAGAAAATGTGTGTGGAGGGTTAGTTAGGATGGATTGTCAGGAAAAGCACAGTAAGGACCTCAGTTGTGGCCCAGTGTACTGTGCACTGCGGTGAGGGCTTCTACCTACAAGGACTCTATTCCAACCCAAAGACACAGGGTGCAGACATAGGAGACTGGGAAGGAGGACGTCGGTCCAGAACATCATCCTGGTTGTAGGGAAAACATGATGTGAGCCACTGTCTCATTCAGCCAGTAGGGATATACAGGACAGAATCACATGGGCAGTGAATGCTATGCATGAGTAAGAGTAGAGCACCAGTCCAATGAGCCCAGGATCCTGTAGGATTCCAACATCACTTCCAAATATTAGGTCCCCAAATTCATGTCCAATTGTATCCACTCCTGCAGGGTGAATGTCAGTGCCACATAGGAACATCATTTGAAGGGTCAAACTGAGGCAAGAAATTCATCAGTGGATGGGATCACAGCATGACACCCAACACGCAGGCACTGACACAGAGACCCAGGCCTAATTACCGAGGTCACCTGAGGGTCAAACTCTGTGCTGGGATCAAAGGGGAGGCACACAAACAGCAGCTCACTCTGTAAGCAGGTTCCCCTGGAGAAACCACTGCACTGAGAAATGATGGCGTTCCCCTGAGCACGGGGAGGCCAAGGGTATGTGATCTCAGGTGTAAAGGGAAGGGGAGGAAACGCATAACTGCAACCAGGGAAACAGGAGCTGCAGCTGAGCCACTCTGGTCCTCAGACTGTACCTACTCCAGTGAGGCTGCACATCAGTGGTAGAGACTGTGTCTGACGCTG